ATTATTGTGTATATATATATATATATATATATGTATGTATGTATGTGTGTGTGTGTTAGACTACAAAATTGCAAAAAGTGAATTATATAGTGTCTATTTGGATATAAACTTAGAAGAGCTTTTGAGAGCTACTTTACTAGAAAAGAAAACTCTTTATTTTCAGTAAAGAAACTCTAAAAAGCTCTTCTAAACTTATATTCAAACAGGTTCACAACAAACAGCTCATTTTCACAAATGCAGCGAAAGTATAAGATTTAGAATGTCATACTCATACCGTGCTATAGGTAACAAGATCTGGAACCAGACCATCTAGTTTCATCTGCTGAAAGAGTTCCATGGCAGAAGCAAACTTGCCTTTCTTGATTAAACAACTGAGAACGGAATTACATACAAGGATATTTTTCTTGGCTGATTCATCTTGAATGCTTTGGTACAGTTGTAGCATCTTAGCAGCATCGAATTTATTTGCCATGAACCTTATGTAATGGGAATAAGATGAGACATCGAGCTTGTCGTTCTCTTGCATCCACGAAAATAGCTGCAATTGCAATTATATCATAAAAAAAGACGAGCAAGCAAGTATGATGTATGATTCAGAAAAGCAAAAGCATTCACCTGAGAGATATGATTGAAATTATTTGAACTTTTGAAGTGATGCAAAGCGGCATTGAGGTCTTTAATGGTCAACGTTTCTCCTACTCTGAAAAATTGGAATTATAGAATGAGAAAGTGTTGAAGGAAGAATGGAAAGTGAGGATAGTAGCGATAGAGAGAACCTTGCGAGAGTTGAGGGCAAATCAGAAGCGTGCTGAAGTTCAAGTTTGGCTGTTTCTCTGGCGGAGAAGGATTTGGAGCGTCGAAATTTGACGGCGTTTCTGCGAGGTTGAGTTTGCGTGTGTAGCTCCGATGTTATCGCCGACGCCGAAATTGTGAGAGAATGGCGAAACGCGACTCCGAATGCAACCGCCGAAGATGATAACTCCATTTTTCATTTCAGAGTGTAGCGTAAGCGTACCATACCATTCCACACTCTTTTACTTACACTGCCACAACCGTTACTTACACTCATAGGCTTTTTTGGACTGGGCTTCCATGTCTTTACGGCCCGGCCCGGCCCGATTCGCATCAAATTAAATAATGACAAAATTGTCCTTATTGTATTACATTTTTTTTTCATTAAGGTTGTTTATGTCATTTTATATACATATCTTTTTTTTTTCTTCCTTTAGATCCATTTTTTTTTTCAAAAAGAAAAAAATCCGTTGCTTGATGGCAAGCGATACGTGGCTGCCTTACTTTTTCCCCAAGTAAAGCACGTACCAATAGAATCATTAGTCAAATATAAAATTCAATTTTCTCCGAGAATAGAAGAATCTAGTACAGAGTATGATCCTAAATGTTAACGGTAGATGTAACAAAAAAAAACGTTAACAATAGAAACCTTCGTATTTACCTATGTCGCCTGCTACAGTTTTGATAACGTGATTTATTTAAATTAATTTGATTTCTTAACAATTAACATAATAATTAATTTTAATATGCTACCCAGATGAATTATTAGGAAATTGTTAGTCGTTTTGAGTTTGAGTTATATATATATACACGTGTATTAAAACAAAAAGATAGAATGCATTTTTAATTGTATAATTTCTGAAATTCCATTTTAGCATGTTAAGAAAAAATTGTGTTATCTAAATGAATGGTTAAGATGTATGGCATTGGTATCTAAAGTAATATAATTTGTTAAATATCGTAACCGTGTGTATGGGGCAATGCGTTTTTGAGGAACGTAGGAATTGGATTATTATGTTAATTATATGAGTTTTAATATTTGTCTCTCTCCGTGGACTTGACTTGGTAAGCAGTCGCAGAGAATAATTAGGAAACAAGTGAAGTCAGTGATAGTCATGTTGTGCCATAGCCATAGCCATGGAGCTTCTGGGTTCTCTCAACAAGGAAGACATATTGGACCTCGTCTCTCATGGCTTCTGTTCCCACTGCGAGTCTCTCCTCCATTCTCGAATTACATCCCTTCGTAAAAGTAACACATCTTTAATTTCAACTCTTAGATCAGACATGCTGCCTCTTTGTTACTACAATAATCGATTTCTTATTTAATAACTTGTTGCTTCTTTTATTATTTTTAGAATTAAGTTTCTTGCTTCTTGCATAAAGCATGTCAATTATTGGTTCTTTCTTCTGTGTGTAGGAAAATTGGATGAAACTTTGTCTCCTGATGAAGGATTTGGATCTTCTCATGGACTGGACTTGGACATGCCTGTGGCTGTGAATAATGGAAATGTTTCAAATTCAGAATCTTTGACTGAAAGGCATGGAAACCAATGGGATAGTCATAGTCCCAGAAACTCCTCACAGAGGCGTGATTCTACTATGTCAATGAAGGGTGATGATAATAATAGACCCAATTTTGATTCCTCAACTAAGTATTTGGTGGGGTGCAAACAATCTGATTTTGAGTTATTGTTAAACGATGGAATTTGTGGGAATTCTACATTTGAAAATGGGTTATCAGAGGAAAAAAAGGAGCGTTTAAGGTACTCTCGAGTGCACAGTAAAAAGGACTTTACCTACACTGAAAGGGTGAATGGGAGAGACATGAATGTGCTCCAGGGGCTTGAACTTCACACTGGAGTTTTCAATGCTGTGGAGCAGAGAAAAGTTGTTGAGTGGATATACAGATTGCAATGGAGGGGACAACAGGGGAAACTCAGAGGTATATGTGAATTGTGGAGCTTTAATTCTGTCTTTTGATTTATGCCTATGCATTTTGTTTTTGATATTTTAGTTTAGACTTTTGACTCATACACGTTTTTGTTGCACTTTTTAAGTTCATGCTTGACAGTGCTAAACTTAGAGCTAAGATTGCAAGCAAACAACCATTTGGTCTAGGAGATTTGGAAATTTGGAATTAAATGGGTGCTCAATTGTTCTTATAACATGTATCTGATTTGACTAATTTTAGTTAGTTATTAAAGAAACCATTTTTTTTCCTTTGTGACTTTACAACAGTTACAAATTGACTGTTTTTTTTTTAATCCTTTGGTCTATATTCCATAACCGTAGCATTACAATCTCTTTAAGCATGTTTTGCTTAAGAGTATGGCAGTAATATTGCCTCTCATTGTTTTTGGGAGTATATAATATCATTTAGCATACCTCAAAGTCTACACTAGCCACCTATTGTAGCAAAATAGTTTCTCTCTCTTCTAGTGTAAAAATGGCTGGGTAGTGGGTCATATTATCATATACATCACATGAGATGAATGTGAATATTCAATCATGTTCAATCTAGTAGCAATATCTTAAATTTTTTTTCTTTGTGTGTGCTAGATTTAATTTTTGGCATGTCAAAAAATAAGAACCATTGTGTCTCTATTTGTTTCAGAGAAAGTTTGATTCTTACATGTACAACATTTCTTGTCTACAGATCGAACATATTCAGAACCAAGAAGGTGGATGCGTGGTAAGGGACGAGTGACACTACAATTTGGCTGTTGTTACAATTATGCAGTGGTATGGCATAATTTACAACTCCTATCCATTCTTATTTGACATTTTCCTTATTTACTTTTTTAAAATGTTACAGGACAAGAATGGTAACCCTCCTGGCATAGTGAGAAATGAAGAGGTTGATCCATTACCAGCTGTGTTCAAGCAAATGATAAAGAGAATGGTTAGGTGGAATATAGTTCCTTCCACATGCATTCCTGATAGTTGCATTGTGAACATATATGAAGAAGGAGACTGCATTCCTCCTCATATTGATCATCATGATTTTGAGAGGCCATTTTATACAGTGTCATTCTTGAATGAGTGCAACATATTATTTGGTTCAAATTTGAAAGTTGTTAGTGCGGGAGAGTTTGCAGGTCCTGTTTCCATTTCTTTGCCTGTTGGGTGAGTTTTTGTTCTCTTCTCCTCCAATCAAATATAAATCAAATTCACGTCTATTTTTTCTCTAGCTTATCGGTTAAATAATGTGGTTGTTTAGTCATGTTTATAGCCTATTTATGTGTGGAAAATGGTACTTGTATCATTACTCTATATTCATTGTGATTATTTAGACAAACGAGTGATCATTTTGATCATGCAGGTCGGTGTTCGTTTTGAATGGTAATGGAGCTGATGTTGCTAAGCATTGTATTCCATCCGTGTCTTCAAAAAGGTCATCTTAATTTGGCAAATTTATTTGAAAATCCTTCCCTATCTTACTATGTTGTTTTCTTAAACATTTTGTCTTTCACAGGATTTCTATTACTTTTAGAAAGATGGGGGAAAGCAAGTTACCGTATAAGTTTTCACCGGATCCTGAGTTGGTGGGAATCAAGCCACTAAAAGAACTTGAAGGACAACATGAAGTTGAGAACTTAGATTTCCAACAACACAAGGCTAACAGTGTTGAATCTGAATCTAATACAGTTTGGAATACGAGGAAGGCATTGTTTCATTCGGAAAATGAATTTCCTCTTCATAATGGTAGCTTTAGAAGAATGAAGATCAACAAATTCGGACGCAGGTCCAAACAATAGGTTCAGTCGGCTTGTTTTCATTATATTTTATTATTGCTTGTGTTGAATTTTTCCATGTGACTTCTCTTAACTTCTTATGCGATCAAAACTAGAATCAGATGCTATGTGTGAGGTTCTTATATTATATTTTGTTAAAATAAGAATGTTGTGTTTTTGTCTCTCTATAATATTCGTATGTAATTTTAGTTTTTTAATTTTGTAAAATCCTCAATTTAAGTATTATATATTATTAAATGTGTATCTGTTAACTATTAAAATTATTATGTGATAAATAATATTTAGATTATATTACATTTTAATTTTTTTATACCATAAAACGGGAAAAATATAAGAAAAAAATGACTTAAAAATGGAGAGTAAAAATATAATTTATATAAAACCAAATGTATAAAGTCTTATGTTTGATCCTTGATATTTGTAATTCTCATGAATAAAAAGATTAATAATAAAAGTGACTTATTTTAACTTTTCAAGTAGTCTTTTTTAATTTGTAAAAAAAAATAGCCTTTTGTAATAGCTTGTAGTGCAGTAATTTCATTCAAATGACAAATATTTAACACAAGAATAAGTCAAGCAAATATGTAACAAGCATATAAAAAGAAGACCATTGCAATAGTTAATCCACTTTAATATTATTATATAAAAAAACATTTTATAAGTATGCTAAATGTCACCTTTTTTAATAATTATTTTCACCAAAAAATAAAATTGTGGTATTTTTTGTTCTTGCATTATTAAACATAACAACCACACATATCGTTTAATTTGATAATTTAATGAAAAAAAATACAAGCAAATTCTTTTTTATCTAAGTTTGGTGCTCAAATAATTATTTGTCATGGTCTAATTAATAACCTCGTTACCTGGCACACTTTTAAGTTTTAAAAACTAATTAATCTCGGCTCATCCCAATCATATATAATATTTTTATATTTTACTTTTAAAATCAGTAATAAATTATAAATTTTATTAATTACATTAGTGATATTTCGTATCAATAGAATTCATTATTGTAAAACACCCTTTAATTTATTTTCAAATTTTAAAATTATATAAGTTTATACTTAATATTTAAATTATTGAAAAATTATTTGAAATTAGCTTGAAATATCAAATCATAGTTTACGTCAAATTGGAATTTAAAAAGAGAAATGCTAAAAGCATCTCCAATAAAAGTTCCTTATGAGTTTCATAATAAAAAAATACTACTTTTTGTGTACCCCTTTGATTGTTTAAAATTAGAGATATGGTTATATTAACAATTTTTTTTTTAATTGCTTAGTATTTTTGTCTGTACATGTGAGATAAAGAATATAAAGTATTAAAATAAAAAATATTTGTTAGTTAAATAATCTTTTGATAATTTTAGGTTCAAAACCTATGTCATTGTACGAAATATTAAATTACTAAAATTGACTTAGTTATAAGAATTGGAATAATATACGCATAATCTTAAATTCAAATCTATTGTCATCAATTTGTAATTTTAATAAATAAAAAAACTATAATAAATACTCAAAATAATTTTTTTTTTATCTACAATAGTCTTACTTGACTCGAACATAATTACTTCTGATAAAAGATATATATACTATACAAATAAAAAATAATAATTTTTTGATAAGAACTTTTAATTAGAAGAATAATTAAGTGTATATATATATATATTAAAACATATTTCTCTAAATAATATATATATATATATATATTAAAACATATTTCTCTAAATAGTTAGACTTTATTAAAAATCATACAATTTTACGAGTCTAATGTGTTATTCAATAGATAACTCTCATAATTTTATAATTTTTAATAAATTTTAATTATTAAAAAGTGAGAAAATATATATCCTAATGCTACTGGTTAGAAAATTATTGATGCAATGAAAGTATTCAATGAAATTGAGACAAAGTAAAATTCCCATACACGGTGATATAGTGTTTGATTTTACGTGAATTAAATACCTGTTAGGTAGAGCTAACATTTGCGTAATATAAAACGAATACGATAAAGCAAGGACGCATGTTGAAGAGAATCAGGTTCCATGGTGGCCTTTTGTCTCTTTCCTGATCAGATCAGATCAGATAGCACTTTGGCATACAAATATACAATACAACAACGAAGCCAAATTAAGGCCACTCCGTAGGAGCCTTTGCATTGCATGGCATTTTATTTTATTAATTAACTCAACTTTATTCAAAGGAAAAGAGAATTTAAACTTTAAACTTTAAAGGGTAGTAAGTGGGTTTATATCTGAAAGTGACTTTGTGACAACTAATATATTATATCATAAGCGATGAAAATAGCAACAAGACATGCCAAGGAGACAATATCATTGCACAATACAGTGTGTGATTTATGATGGTTGAGGTGTCTTCATTTCAGGTTGCTCGCTCACCGCTTAATTGGTACAATACAAATACGAGGGGCAGTATTATATACGTAGTGGAAATTTATGCTAAATATCTGAAACTTTACTAATTGAATATAACTAAGTTCATGTCTGCATGAACTTTCTTATTGAATGTTTGACAACCAAAAGTTCTTTGAAAAAGAATCTTGCTTAGTGATCTCAGGAATCCTCAAGCTTTGCTTAATTAATTTTTTATGGTGGCACATGGCAGGGTAGTTGTCGGTTTGAGAATGGATAAAAGCATACTTCACAAGGATCAGCTCAGGAGGCTCTTGTTCTGAGGTTTCGATTTTTGGGAGGTTCTTCTGAGTTTGAGGCTCAGTTGTACTTTGGATAGATAATATTGATCTAAGGTCAGTTCACTGATTATTCTTGTAGTTAATTATTTCAATTTGATGTGTTGTATCATTGTTATGCATTACATATAAGGATTCATCACATGAATAATTGATTCTTTTATTGGTTAATGAACTAACCCAGTTGGCATTTCTGGTTGAATATTGGTTTGCCCATTTTGTGCAGATGATAAGTGCAAGTGGGGTTATTTAAATTCTACATAACCCCTTTCTTTAATGAAAATTTTGACTTTTTTTTGCTTAATTCTGATTTAAAATTTCTGGACTGGATCAGATTATATTCAATTTCTTCTTATATCAGTTGAACTCCATGAGTTTATTCATACAAGATTGTAACGAAAACTTAATGCATTACATACAATTTTGTTTTTGTTTTTACTTATAGCCAATATTCATGCATGGTTTGTCTTTACTTTTTTCTGAATTAATTCATTATATGAAAGCATGCATATCTATTATGAATTTCATGAACAGAAGAATTTAGGCATTTTTCATTTGAGCTAGGCAATTTTGCTCTTAAAACATATACAGAGAAAACCATTGGTTAAGGGTTTTCATTGATGCAGTGGTAGTACTTTGGTTAACCTGCTATCCATTCTAATTTACAAAGAAGCATCGTCAACAGATGTAATCCATCATTATAGATTACATTATTATATGTTGTTGATCTTCTGGATGAGTGGAGTGTAGGATTCATTTATTATATTAATATAGTATAAGTTCACAGGTTCAAATTTTAGTCGCAATATTGTATAAACAAAAAAACAAAAGAAAAAGAAAAAACTAGTTTCTGTAATAAAGATGGTGCCTTGATAAATTGAACCTTTTCTCTGTAGAATCTAGCTGTATGAGACCTTGATATCGAGATTTCATTTAGAAGTCAAGAAATTTCTTGAACACTTGTTACTATAATTAGGGTAGGGTTTAAATTCAACAAAACTGTGAACAGAGCAAGCTACCTGATACTAAGGATATAAGAAAATTACTTTAATAAGAAATAAGGAAAACATTTATAAAGCTACGTGATTGAGATAGTTCTCTGCAGTTTTAAACAAATTGCATGAATGAAATCTTGGCTACAGAAAACGTTTCATTTTGTATTGAAATGAAAATTATAAATATAAAATGTACACCATAAAAAGATGTACAACTGTAGCATCCTTGCAGTTACTTAAAAACTCCAGAGGATCCGAATCTAAAGATATGAGAGAATAAAAATCCCTGATTATGTAATATTTATCTCTCTTTCCGATAAAAGTATCTCCTTCTGTTACCTTAAAAATGACTTTCTGAAAAAGCTGTTGAAAAGAAAACTGAGATTTTGTAATTAAAATATGAAACTGTGTTTTTCCACTATTGAAAAGAATTCACATGATCCTCTTCTTTAATATACCAAACAGAAATTTCAAGCCTGTACTGTTCAGGCACATAAATAGCCAATTTCACTAACTTCCTCTTCCTGACAGCAATGGGGAAAGTCTCCTCTCTTGGAAGTCCTTGTTTTCCTTGATTCCATTTGACTATGACATTAACATTTTGTCCTGGAATTTTTTTTTTCTTCATAATTTTAAGAAGATTTCAAAAAGCATTTTCAGTGAAAGCCAAACTACTTAATTCTCCCTTTCTACAAGTCCTTTTGCTGCAACTTTTTCTTCCCCAGCATTTTGAGACTCATCATGATGTTTGTATATGTCCCAGAGTTCATCATTGGCAATAATATGGTAAGGCTGGTGAAAGGGTAGAAAGATCTCCTCACTACAGCACTGAGTGACATGCGTAACCTTGAAATAAAAAAGTGGTACTTCTTGTAGCTATCCTAATACTGATTTCGACCAGAGAAAGGCTGCAAGTCATGGAGGATAGTGGAAGGTAATATTCATGGAAACTCGTTCTCTGCTATATTCATGTTCTTGTGTTATGTATTTAATAATCTTTTGAGTGTGACTATACTGCAATAAGCTTATACTATGATTTTATTGTTTCTTATAAATTGTAGGTTTGATGAGAAGTCCTTTTCAAATGGGGATGTCTACATAGGTAAGATCAAGGGTATACTGCCCCATGACAAGGGAAAGTACACATGGTCAGATGGAACGGTATACGAGGGCGATTGGGAAGGCGAGAAAATGATAGGAAAGGGGCTGATTGTGTGGTCATCAGGAGCACAATATGAAGGCGAAATCTCTGGAGGTTACCTGCATGGTTATGGCACACTTACAACACCTTCTGGGTGCATCTATAGAGGGGGATGGAGTATGAATGCTCAGCATGGGATTGGACTTAAGAAGTATTCCAATTCAGATGTTTATGAGGGTTTATGGAAAGAAGGAGTTCCTGAAGGGAGTGGCAGGTATACTTGGAATAATGGAAACATGTATGTTGGGAATTGGAAAAATGGGAAAATTGATGGTAGAGG